TCATCTACTGGGTGCTTTTCTGAACAGTGTTTTCAACGCGCTTCCAAACAACGCATTTGCATTCCTGGAGTCCTTAGGATCTCACCATTCACTGTACAAATACGTTGTGCTGTTCAATGATGGAAGTCGCTGTCGAACTCCTGATGCAATATGCAGGGCAATAAACACGGAGATGTGTCGACTCAGCAGCATATGATTGATGAAGAAAGTTTCTCAGCTGTTTACCCTCTAGATGGAAGATCCAGGAAATATGATACTGAGCACAAATCAAAGAGTTGGCGATGGAATGGAAGTTGACATGTTTAATTGTTGAGTAAGAAGCTGGAGTCAAAAAATTCGCACGACAACAATCGAAAGACAACTGGCTTTCATTTTTGAATGAGTAAACAGACCATTCTAGAAAGTTTTGTTACAAAACACCGTCGAAAATAAAGTAATAGCAGCGTAGCTGTGCAATATCTCACGGCTCATCCCTTGGACAGGACGAGAACTGTTCGCTGAAAACATCTATAGAGGTGTGATGTGTCTGCTGGAAGAACGCAAACTAATTGCCTAAATTGACGCGAAAAATAGCCGTCTCCAGTGGCTATGAGCCAGTCAGATATCACCTTAACCCTGAGAAAAGATTGCATGACAAAATAAAAATTTCCGCGCCGATAATACTCTGATGGTTCTTCTTCCATTTGAAGCAAAATGTTTTGTTATCACTACGTGACGCGCAGGCTGCACTGCGTGCTACGCATGCATGGATGGCGAGGTGGACGAAGTGAATTGGAACTAATTCATTACTTCCCAGTGGCTATTTGTTACGCAGAACTTTATTAGCAGCTCAGTATTTCTATCCAACCGACAGTTAGTCCAGCTCACTTTTTATGTTGAACGTGGCCTACCAAGGGCTAATAGTTACATTAAGTAATTTACAAAAAAACCTTTTTTCAAGTGAGTTCACTGGACGGTAATTTGACTCGTGATTGACCATTACTTAAATCCGAATCGCTATGACGAGTCAAGACTATCGTATGGAACGGGTGAGCATTAAACATAGGGAAATATACACAAAATAAGCTGCGATACGCCTCCAATGTTGATAAGACTGTTTGTTTGAGGGACCATAGTAACATGTAGTAAGCTGCAGCATTCCGTGCATTCTATATGGTAGAGCAATGTCTCTCCCATAATACACTCGTAATCTCAACCGCTTAAGTTCTTTAGTTGTGGGGAAATGATCGTCTGCTATCGAGCCACCGAGTTCGTAGCCAACATGAAATTAGACGCCGTCCTAGCAGAAAATTTGAGCGTCGATCAATGTATGTTAAATAGTGGCTGTAAAATGTACATTTAACCCTTTCCGCCCCTTATGTACACTGCGGTATTCACTTTCAGTTTAGTGGGTTCCATTATGTGTATTCATTCGATAGCTAATCGAAAGTGTATCAAAATAGAAGGGTTAAGACCAGAAAAACCATCCTCTACACTAAACAATTCACGAAAAAACTTTTTTCGAAAAAATCTATTGGCTGGTAATATGACCGAAAATTAGCTGGTATTTCATTTTAACCACTATGGCCATTGTAAAGAGGCGCAGGTAGCGCTGTGGTCGGGGGAGCCCTGCAATACACATAGGATCGATCCCTGCGCCCAGGCCCACCAGGCCTTCCATACCACCGGGGTGCGCAGATTGGTACTAGACTAGCCTAGGAGGATAGCAGCACTGGCTCGATACATCGGTTGGCCACCGCGAGTCATTGTAAAGGCCAGATGTGCATTCAATCACCTCCAACGATGCTTAATGAAGTCGAATGCATGGCGCATCCCTAAGAGACTTTGAACAACGCGCAGAGCTTTATCCTTTTCTTATTTGTGGACATTATATAGAATGTGCGGATATAAAGAAACAATGAAATAGAGTGAAAATGGGAGCAAAATACTTTCAAGTGCTGACAGCAACGTATTTGCGTAATGGATCGTAGCAACTCACAGTAAATTGTAATATACAATCACTGAACGATAGAGCAAAGCCTCTTCTATAATTCCATCTTGTTCAAAATCCTTAGAATACTCTAGTTATTCAAAAATTATTTCTTATTGTTTAGAAACCAGAAAACCAGTCTGCAACCAGCGAAAAATTGCTCGTATTCGATTGGGGCAGCCACGAAAAACGGGACCTGGGGTAAGAACTGGGTTAAAGAGGTGGAGTGGGTTGAATTACCACCATATATGAGTTTCATTTATCACTTATCCTTTTTCCATGGCAGGACACGATATGAAAGACAACCATGAGAATGCTGAGAAATGCCAGCAACAGATATTACAGGACGTCAGTTACTTAGAAACCGCAAATGTTAGTATGGCAATGTGCGTATAATAGAACGCCGGATGATTTCCTCCATCCATATAGACGGAGATTGAATGAGTTACAGTACGCACTGAAAGGGAACGACGCCTGTTCCCCAAACACCTCGGATGATTTTTCGAAAACTGTAGACTTGAGGGTTTAACGCCTATACAGCCGTATAGAAAAGAGACTTTGGGGTGTTTTTCTAAGTAAATGTAGTAACTTTCCTAAAGTGTTACTTATAAGTCCATTTCATTTTTCTTTATGATCTGTCGTCACATCTGCTATGCGGATCCCAGCACTTCTGTATCCCCTTCGATTTGCTCACATTGATCGTCTACAATGTCTTCGAACATTTCACGTGTTGCTCCGACTGCTGCTTGAAGAATTCGGCTTCTTTATGGATGTCTTAGAATGCTGGTTTAGTCGATTCTCTTTGGAACCTTGGAGAGAGCTGGATCAAAGCTTCCCCTGTTGTTTGGGGGAGAACGTGGGGCAGGGCGCCGAACTAGCGCCTTTGCCTTCTGAGCGACGGCATCACTAACCAGTGCGCTATCCTCCTACGCAGTTTGTGTCCAACCTTTACGAGCCGCTTATGAAATAGGCGAACAAATTTCCATTATAAAGTGATATGTTGCAGGGATCGAAAAGTGATATAAAGACGAAAGAAATCGTCTATCAGTACTTTAAGATGGGATTGCTAGACAACCGCAGTTGAGTGGCTATTAGACTTACAATGTTGCTCATGCATGTCGTCCTATTGCACCATGTATTATGACAAGGAGAGGATCGAAAGTCTGTTTTTTTCCAAACCTGTACTTCTCGGACATCACAGTCCATAACCGACAGGATAAATGATACAAGACTAGACCGCTAGTCGAATATATCAGTGGAAACTGCAGCGGAGCACATAGGTCCATGAGTATGTGTCGACGAGCCCTTGTGACTTTTACAGCTGGAATTGTCTATATCTAGTGCATTCCCCATAACGGGCGTAAATACGATATCAAATTATTCCAACTGTGCTCTAGAGGTAACTGCAGCCGGAGACTTTCGGTTCAAACTACAGCCTCCCTCCAGAAAGGGACCCGTGGCTCAAACTTGGGCAATGAAGCCCATGAAGCTCACGTACGGCCTAGTGAATGAAGGAACGCATCCTTATACCGACAGTTGGTACACAAGTCCTCCTTTTAAACAGTTGTGGGAAGAAAAGTAGGGGGCTTCCATCACAAGTCATCCAACGAAACCCGAATGAAGGGCAGTACACAGCCCAGGAAAACCAGAGTGCTACAACGGTGTTCAGAGCGGATAAATTGCATAAAGGAAGGACGGATTTTAATATGATGTCTTCAGTTTATGATACAACTTTTACCTTAACTCATCAAAATCGCATGTTATTCAAAGCCACAACCAGATGGATTTTTTCGCAAAACGAGCGCCCAAGTGATGGCCTGTAATTCGTTTATTATAAACACTAGCAAATGAATTCACGTATACTTGTGATTCTCTGTAATCTAGACACTCTTTGTGCAGGTATAGCTTTGGCGCATAAGGTTCTTCCTCCATTTGATCCGGTGAATGCGCAGATCTACAATGAATAGGTCTGGACATTATCGTTGAATGGTCTGGTCTCTACACTTGTCACATTGGAAATAGGAATGTTTCCATGCCAATGAATTCTTCCTTCTTTAAAGAAGTAGGCAACACTGCAACTAATATGAACCGTTCTAGACAAGTTGACCAATCGATAGAGTTCTCTTGAGATCAGTAAAAATAGGTAGCCTTGGTTCAAGGTTGCAGTATCAACAGCAACGAGGTTCCTATAGTGTGCACCACACTATCGATACCACAAAAGCTAACGCTAGCAGTCGGAGATAACAAGTGCTACACCCAGGTTTTTTCACACTGAAGTATTAAGGACTGATGAACAGAAGTCGGTGTCGCTGTCGAAGCTAGTTCGATTTCGCTCCAGCCCAACCAAGCTTCTCATCCCTCCGGGGTCGGAAAATTGGCACCGGACTTGTTCGGGAAAAGATCACTCTCTGAAATCCAATTGGAAACGCTCCAGCCCGGCTAACTCAGGACTCCAGGGAGAATTGCTCGACAAGCATTCTACGACATTCGAGATGAAATGAAAACCGTCAAGCAGCAGCCGAAGCCGCACGTAAAAGTTGGAAGATGTTCGTGGACAATGAATATGAAGAAACAAATCGAATGTAAGAAGTGGTGGGATCCGAAAAGTACGCGTGAAGACTGGTCATTTGAAATAAAGTTAAAAAAAAAAGGAAGTCATTATGAATAAGACAGCACTCATATTTGGACGAAATCAACATAAAACTTAATAAATATTATGAAAGCTATCTGCTGGGAATAACTTTTCCACAATTGGATCGAAATAAGTTGTCGCGCAGAAATCGCACATGAGCTTCGAACCACTAAGATTCATCAGATTCAGATACAAGAAGCAAATTCACAATAACTAAAACATATCACCTTACATGTGCAGAAACAACAGCATTGTTCTTCACCAGTGGAAAATAATCGATAATGGTATCCTTTTTACAACAGAAAATAAACAAACTGACAAACTAGTACAAGAGACTAATATAACATTCAGAGTATCATGTTAACATAGAATGCACGGTAACTGTAGCACAGAAAACAACTATGCCTTCAACGTAGAGAAATCAACTGGTTCATCCAATATCTTTCCACTAAGAGGAGCCTTCAAAGTACTTTCATCCCCTTTACGGGAATCAAGATCAAAATGATCCAACAGAGAAGCCATTGCATCTGTTTCAGGCCGTATCTTAACACGAGTGCTTCATAACCAGACCAAATTTAACATGATTTGAAAGTCACATACTTGAATTTCATCAACCTCTCTTATGCTATGGAAGACAGACACGCTACGATTCTCTTGGCCCACGTCACTCTTAACAGCACGAAAGACACGTTAATTGAAGGTCCAGCTATAGAAACTTATATGCTTAGGAAAGACCTGTTTGGATTCTTCCGAACTGTAACTACAGAATGAAGTGTTGACAGAATCAGAGGGTTCCTCGCCAGCCCAAAGGTACAAACTACGTTTCCAGTTCCTGATCTGCAAAACACAGCGAATCAAAGAGTAACAGAGAAAACATGGGACTGTATTACCTGGGCATCCCAGGACCTGCGACTAAAATTGAGATATTTGTTTGGTGTACGTGGGTGAACACCCTTTATACGTTGCTGGCGGGGGATCTCCTCCAAATAACGGGCATACACTGGCTTCTCCTTAGCACGCTCGATCTCCTAACAAAAATATGGCTACCTGTTCAAATCGAAAGAAAAATTAGAGCTACGAGCCATATATTTAGATTTAACAAGAACGTAGGACTAATCGGTGAACCTTTGTGCGCCGATCGAGCGTGGCCTTATCCTTACACCACCCAAGAGTAGGGCTTTCCCAGAAGTCCTTTGGAGTGAATTCATTGGAGTGGGTATCTTTTGATGCCGTTGATGAGAAAATACATCTAAAAACTGCAAAGTATATAGTAATACAGCGAATTAAATGAAAAACTATGAACCTGTTCCTGAAAGGACTTCGCACAGAAGCGTCAGTCTTCAAATTTTTCCTTGCAGGCCGTCCACTCGATGGTGATCCACCTCGTGTAGCTCTTCTTACAGGTGAGAAGCTTTCGCACTTCTCATCAAAGCAAGCAGGTGATTCAGCTCTCCAATGACGCTTACGAGACTGGAAAAATAACCAAACTCCAAAGAGTTTGAGCTTCTTAAAACATTTGTATACCTCTTCCTTTTGTGAGGACTTCTTCATAGAAGTTCCGTTGTCATCCACTCCACATTCGACCTGTAGACGTAACTAGATTGATCTCAGCGAAAACAAGAATCATTAAGCTTACTGGAAACCTTGTTTTTTATACGTGTAGATCTACTACAATTCTTCATCACTTCTTCACTAAGTTCCAGACAGCGAACGAACTTTGGTTTTGAATTTGCCTAGAAAAGATATACATGGGTGGAATCGTTTACATAAAATAAAATGGATAAAGCTCTAGGCGCTCATTCATCCCCATGCATTCCACTTCGTCAAGTATCGTGGGAGGTGAATGGATGCATATCTGGTCTTTACAATGACTCACGGTAGCCTACCGATGTATCCAGCCAGTGCTGCTATCCTCCCACACAAGTCTGGTACCAATTTGAAGACCCCGGAAGGATGGAAAGCCACGGGCGTGGGAGTCGATCCCATGTGTATTGCACGGGCCTCCGACCACTGCGCCACACGCACCCATAACATTCACATACATCGTAAACATTAAAAAAAGCAATTGGACATATCATTTGCAGAATAGATTACTAATCTACGACATAAAGAACCCTTCAAAGAGGAACTGACCTTCTTCGGAGTGGAAGCCTTGCGACTGCGGTGTGGATCGGTTCTGGATAGACGTTCTCTAATAGTCCGATTTAAGCTCTCATCGTTTGCGGTGATTTCGGCCCAGGAACAGTTGAGTGGAGAAAACTCCGACTCATTCTCAAGCAAAGATTTGTGCATACAAACAAGAAAATGCAGAAATAATGGACACATAAACAAAGGTATGAATATACTTGTACTTACAAAAATGGAAAAGGACCGTGCCGGCTGCTCAGCCTTTGGAGGTGACGCCCAAGCTTTTTTACGAGGAGACTTACGAGTCTTCCTAGCAGAAGCGTCCATCATCTGCAAACTCCCTTCTTGTTTACACAAAAAATCTACGCTACACATTTCTGATTGCTCATAATAAAAAGAGAAGACGAAAGAAACAATGAGTTTGTGGTGGATGGCAAGGCAGCATGGACTTTGTCGAGATTCATAGCTCTCGAAATTCGCGCGCAGACGCGAACTGCGTCGAGTCGTATGGACGCCAAGGCGGAAGGCAGAGAGGCGTGCGGAGCCAACGACGGCGACTGGCCCAAGAATAACCTCGACTCCTGAACGCGAATAGGTGGGCAGTACGAAAAAAACGGTGGTATATGCAGAAAACACAGAAAGAGAAGGGTTAAGACTTCGTTTATTGTAGAAATTAGGATAAGAAGTGCACAAAACGCATCGGAAGCGGCAAGGATGAAAATTCGACAAACAGTACGGCAAACGAGGACCCATGGTGGGGTTTTGTTGAATTCTGCGGGAAATTCAAAGATGAAACCGGAAAACGGGAGCTTAATGGATCTATCCGAACAATGAAATGCTGAAGAACGCAGAGCCTCAGTCCGAATTTCCTGCGCTGAGTTCACAGCGCTGAAATCGGCGGGAAACCGTCGCGACAGAGGAGCGCCGCGCGCGGCGGTGTGTCGTTCACACTCGCAACCTGCGCTGCTAGATGCTCGGGCCTACTGAGAACTCCAACCAGCGAAGATCCAAGAGGGAATGTGTATTCGGAAATTGTCATAAATTACGTGAACTATCTCTAAAACTGGGCGTGCGAGACGCAGAGGTTAGAGGTCGTTGGCGCAATCCCGTTCCTCAAGTTCACCAAACCTTCCATCTTTCCGGAGGCAGCAATTTAATGCCAGACGTGTTCGGCGGTGCAGTAGCATTGACTCGATACATCGGTAGGCTACCGCGGGTCATTGTTAAGCTCAGATATGCATTCAATCATCTCCAACGATGCTTAATGAAGTCGAATGCATGGCGCGTCCCTCAGGGATTTATCAACGCCGAGAGCTTTCAACCTCTGTTTTCTTGAGGAGCAAATACGAGGTTGTTATTAAAGCATTCATAAGCTTACAATAGCTGACGTATCGGCAGTTCCGGCTTCTTAGGAGCCTCGAAAGGTCAAATTAACATGCAATCTACTCAGCCAAACACTTTCATAACCTCAGCAGATAGAACCTAATCCATAAATTTTTAAATTGCATGAAAAATTTATGCATTCGGTTTTGTCTGCTGAGGTTATGAAAGTGTTTTGCCAAATAGGTTGCATGTCAATTTGACCTTTCAGGCTCTTAAGGAGTCGAAACCGCCGAAACGTCAGCTGTTGTAAAGTAGTAAGTAAGTAAAAATCTCGTCTTCGCTCATCGGGGAAACAGTGAATTTTTGGCGAATGCCAAGGTTAAAAGAAAGTTGGTCCTGGGATTGACTTTAAATCTTTTTTTTTGCAGGTGGAACAACACCGCTTTCGTGGGAAACCTATCACATTCTAGGGCTATTTTAAGAGTGAAAATAAGACTCAGGAAGTTCTTGATTTCGTTTCTTTTTTGAATCCTCAAACAAATAAAAGAAGGGAAAGAAAATCTGAATAATATTAGGCGAGTGAAGTAGGAAGTAGGCCTTTTGAGTTATTAGGAAAAGCGAGGCACTTCCGACTTGTAAGAGACGTGTTTTCATTACGACAAAACACCGTCTTAATTTGACAAAAGACCTACTTTTTCCGCCTCTGAATGGGACACCAAGCGATTCTTGATTTCATCTAATGTAGGAGATTACTCGAAGGTATGCGGCTTAGCTTGTTACTTGTTTCACTGTGATTTCCTTAAAGTGGGCTGTTTTCTCAACTAAAGAATTGCGTGGGCAAAGTAAATTCTCAAGACCAGTATTGAGAGAAACATTTCCGAGAGTAGTATACGATTCCATAACTCTTTATAACAGCAATGGGTGTAACATTAAAAGCACGTCTAAAGGACTTTGTAGATTCGCCATGCCTATAAAGATCTAGACAAAGAACCGTTCCTCGCAACTTAGTAATAACTCTGAAATACAGTGTTCAACAAAATCATCAAGCGTTACTGTGCTGGGGACATGGTGCTTCCAGATAGAGGCGGTCTTTGTTATTATATGATTGGATCCGCGTTATTCTTTTGAGTACTGGCCATTCGGTGATTCGGACATTAAACTTTGAGATAGTTTAGGTTTTGGCGGATTTGGTCGAATTTTAGCCAGTACCGAAGAGATGCTATCACAAGGACGCTGAGATATGAGCGAAACTTCTGTGGAATCGGAGCCGTCGGGGGGTATTTAAGTGCTCAAAAAAGAACAGCTAGAGTAAATTTGGTTTGATGAAAAGCTGACATTGGGAAATGTAACGGACGGCGTTTTCGCCTTCGTCCGAAAAACTTCTTCAACTGATGCAACTCAATTCCCAAGACCGACTTTCTGTTAACCTCGGCATTAATTGATAATTGAGAATTATGCGAAAAAAAACACCATTCTTATGTGAATGCAAATCGATTTGTCAAGTCTTATCTGCTAGGGTTATGAAAGTGTTTGGCTGAGTAGATCACATCTCAATTTGACCTTTCCAGGCTCTGAAGAAGGCGAAACCGCCGAAACGTCAGCAATTGTGTTCTAATAAATTCTATATTAACAACCTCGTGTCTGCTTATGAAAAACATTGATGCAACTCACTTTATTTCTCACGACTCAATGTGATCAAGAAGGCGATCGCTGAAAAACAATTCCCACAACAATTTATTTTTAACGAATAGCTTTCACGATATCCATTTTTCTCGACTCTTTTTACATTCAGATTCGCTTGAGCTACCCCGCATTCGTTCACAAACGCGGTTCTTCCAGAAACTCTTGAACCTATGTGCGTGTGCTTTAAGTAATGCACTGAAATGGTCGTCATCGATGACAGCAGCTCGTCTGCGACCCTATTCATCTTCAGAACCCTCATCAACACGAAATCTTCGGAAAGCCATCGGTGGTTCTCAGGACCTATTTCCATTTGAATTAGAACAAAAATTCCCTGAGTTCGCATTCAACACTTTCTATTCCAACGGTAGTAAATGAATAACAGTGAAATAAAAAAAACAAAAGAAAAAAAGGTTGAAAATTTTGGACTGAATCAGCATTTTAAATCAGTATACGATATGAGCGTAAATCTACGTGACTTAAAAAACACGCAGGAACACGTCTTGAACGGTCAAAACCAGGGCATGTATCGGAGAGTAGTAGCCAACAACCGGTGGAAGCTGTCATAAGGCATCCACTCGTTGCATGTTTTGTAAAGTACGAGTTCGCGTATGTAAATGGCATGTCCTTTCCTTAGTACAAGCTCGCAAACATTCGCGAACCTTCAACTACCTCTTCAGACAACAAAAGGACAAGCAACTTCCGATCTCAAAGCAGCCTGCACTGAAAGTCAATGATCCTTTCCAGAAGAGTTTCAATAGAAAAGCAGAAAGAATCTATTAATAGACAAACCTGTAATTACGTATACGTTACTTCATCTACGTAGAAGTCAGGCGATAAAGATTACGTTTTTCTTAGGGAAAAAAACTCATTAAGCAATGAATAGTGGGGAACACAGTATGCCGAGTGTCACCGTGCTCATTGACCGTCTTGGCAGCGGATGCGTCTCATTATTCCGCGATATTCTTCCACTATTCCCTTCTTGTAAATAAAAGATGTAAACACAGAGCTGTTTAAACGACAAAAGCTTGGTAGATCTGCCACTAATACTTAAAGGCAGGGCAAATATTCCATTATACATGCATAAGGTGGAAAGGCGTAGCAGAAAAGACTGAAGTAAAAAAGGTGCGATTTCATACTATCTAAAACATGGATAGCAAAAAACTCTTAAAGCACTTTGGATTAATTCCACAAATCCAAAAATGAGCGTCATTGAGGAGCGCTTTGTGATAACCTGGCGCATGCCTCGGGCTCTCCTGGGGCAGACGCGTTCCTCATACGTGTAGGACTCTATGCTGCTTGTTTCCACCATAATTAGAAGACTTATAAAGAACAAAATGTAATTTTGGTGATTGTTTAGAAAAAGCTAGTTGTCATGTTGCGATAACAAAACAGCGTTTAAATAACAAGGTCTACCTCATGTCACGTCAGCACTGACCTTCCGCTCACTGATGTTCTCCATGAGCTGATGCAAGGTTGTCAACACGTTAATTAAACAACGGTTAACGTATTTGTAGATTTACCGTCATTTTTAAGAATATTTACTTGGGTCATTTGTTTCTATGAGGTTAGGCTATCAGCTTGTTGCTAACGTGGAATGGGGAAAAACGGCTTTGAACTAGGCGAATTTCATCGAAAATTATCCATCGTGGGAAATGCTTTATGATGAGTGTTGTTCATTTGGATGTTTCCCATAAAATTGACAACGCTGTCGTTGTCATCGTAAATTTGACTGCGTGAAAGAGATGGACGGGAATTTAATAAATTAGAAAGTTGTAACATCGAGCCGCAGTTCTCACTACTAGGAGACGAGTCAACCGTTCAGTTATGCGTCATCCACGTGTTTCATTGCGAAGGATGGAAAATCACACATGGTGGTCAGAATTCTGGACGAGAACTCTAGACGAAAAACATGATAGTCATCGTGTCCAGTGAGCCAGAAGAACCTGTTTTCCAAATCTCTTGTATGGCAAGGATGGAAGGAGACTTTACAGTGCCAATTTGAATCATGCGACGATCAGTGGAAGAAAATAGGATTAGAAATTCCATTCCAAGGACAACTCAGGAACTGTGTACAACTGTGTAATGATATCCTTTCAGTGGAGAGTCTCAAGGAAAATTTCGAACAGCAATGGACACGGAATAGATTTCGGTTGAATTACTGGTATCACATTAACCTTTTGGATGTAGTAAATGGTTGCCTTTATTTTTCTGAAATGGATCGAAAAATATATAGTAAGGATGGGATACTCCGTGGAGCAAATTGTGGTTCTCTAAATCAATTTAACACTTTAGAGGCCATCGAGCGTTTAGGATATTATATATCA